GGGCACGGGGGCGGGGCGGGGCAGCGACGGGGGTGGTGCGGGGCAGAGGAGGGGGTCGCCGGGGTGGCGCGGGGCGGCGACGGCACGGGGGCGAGACGGCCGGCGATGGGCCGGGGATGGCGCGAGGCGGCGGCGGCTTGAGCACGGGGCGGAGAGAGAGAGGAGACAAAGAGAGGGGTGGGGCGCGGGCATTGGCTTTTTAGTTAGGGCACGGTTCTTTGTCGTCTGCTAGCAGACGACAAAGAGCCAGCTAACGGACGTTAGTTTGGCCACTTTCTTTGCCGTCTGCTAGCGGACGACAAAGAAAGTGGCCGTTAGGTGGCTCTTGTTAGTGGGCCACCCTCCCTCTTTATCGTTCGCTAGTTGACAACAAAGCTTCTAGCGGACGGCAAAGAGATGGCTGACGGCAAACATTATCTTTGCCGTCAGTTTTCTGTAAGCTGATGTTAAAGACCTTCTTTGCCATCAGCTAGCAGACGGCAAAGAGACGGCTGACAGCAAAGATCCTGATTTCAGTAGTGAATAGTCAATCCATCCCGGGAATGACAATTGAAGAGGTCATAAAGGGAAGACAACCATCGTGTATGGAGTTTTCCCCTTAGGTCTTATGACTAGGGTTCTCCAGTCCTCCGGCGACATCGCCACCGTGAGTTTCCCATCGTCGACGATTTGATCCCGCAAACCGGGAAGCTTTCTCCTTCCCCGTCTGCCTCCTACACCCCCTCAGGTCTTCCCGGGGAACAACGAGTGCGCGGGCTAGGGTTTTGACCGATGTTTTTGGCCATAGCTACAATTGCCTGAATTGGTGGAAGCGGCAGATCTTTGAGCGGTCGTGAGCCAAAGGAAAAGGCAAAACTCCTGGAGAGTCTAAATCTTCGGGATGAGGAAACGGATGATCTAATTTGGGATGATGAGACTGATGTAGAGGAAATCAAGCCAACGGTTGGGGGCCACGGGTCTGCATTGGCCACCAACTTGCGCTTCTTGAGGCCAAGCTTGGCAATGTGTATGATTCTTCGACATTTTGAGTTCAGCCTCGCACAGGCATACACTCATGCACCGCATAATGTGACATTTTCGCGTCCGATGCATGGTGCTCAAATTAAGCTTGGCACGATTTGATCATTATGTCCGCTTATGTTTCGTTCGTTTGCCATGTGTGCACTCATGCAGTAAGACTATATTTGGAAATTTGCACCAATGTATTGTCTATGTTTTCTTAGAAATTAAAATCCAACACATTCAAGGCTTCCTTCGATCTATAACCATCTGAAAAATATGGTAGTCGACTCTTATTATCATTCTACTCTACGATGGAACAAGACATTCAAAGTTCCAGCAACAAAAGGCAACATGTTGTGAGGGTCAGACTTGCAATTCCAAGCATGAGTTACACGTACTGAAAATTTCTTTTGAGAATTTTAATGCAAATTCTCTCTTTCTCTCTCCTGGGTTCTCCGTTCAACCTTGATCATTCGACTTTTAACTTTGTCCGTTTACATAGCACATAATCTCAAATTTCGTGTGTTTTTGGTCCAGCGTCCAGACACCTCTTTCAAGCAATTTATGTCTTTTTTTTATTTTACTCTTTGCAACGCAGTACGTGCCATGACAGTCTCGATCATGCATACTGGGCACCTTTTTTCTTTACTCTAGCTATATATAGCTATGTATATACGAGAGAGAGAAACCACGAGGAGAAGCAAAACTGCGACGGCGCTCTGGGCCCAAGTCCAACGCTCGTCCTGCCACGAGGCCCAGAAAGCGAACGCAAGCCCATGAACCAGACAGCGCTCCCGTGACTCGCGTTCTGCGCCCGTGGCTGCTGCGCTTCGGTTGTTTTAGTCCCACCTCGCCCAGCCGAGGAGGATCGAGCAGGAGAGCAGCCTATAAGACGAGAGGCAGGTGCGACCTTGTTCCATACTTACCTGGACGGGGTCGACGGGTGATCAGGAAGACCCGTGGCCTAGGCTAGTGGCCCACATTGCACATGGTGGGTGCGCTGGCTTACCATCTCCCCAAGCGGGAGAGTGGACGTCATAATTTGTGGTAGAGGGGGTACGCGTTCGTGCGGCCCCTGCCAATTCTGCAAAATTAAACTTTGGTCCCTGGCCTAGCAAGAATCCTACATGCAATTTTCTGGTTTGGTCCTCGCTCTATCTTTCGGGAATTGAACGTAGCGTGAGCATGGAATTTACAAGAGCCATTCCAGTGCCTCAACAAGCAGATATCTCCATCGCCGTCACTATAGTCCAGCTAACATGAGACAAGCCTTGTCCGTGAACGCCCATTTGGTCGAGCGGCCATGCCAGAACGACCAACTCGCCATGACACGGGGACGGCGGCCATATCTCAAGAGCCTGCTGTCCAGCGCAACGGAACGTCTAGAGTTGTTGCTGTTATCGTCAGATAAAATATTGACCACTGCCAACCAAGCTGCGTGCTCTCTCTGCAAGCGGCCCCTGTTACAAGGCTAGCACTACACATTACCACGACATTATCGTTGGCCAGGAGCGACAGAGTGGCACTACTTGCCGTCTTGGACACCCGCTTAAACCACCTCCAACAATGCCGAGCGACATTTCAGAGCAACTGAAGCTTAGCGGTCAGCATTGCCGTGCTACACGGACTGGACTGAACCACAGTAAGTACCAGTCAACCGGTCAAGTCAATGTGCCTAACCTGTAGCCTACGGTATAGCAATGTACATGATCTTGAGTTATGAAAATGTTAGTCCGGTCGCATTTTCTCGTCTAGACAGTGACCGGGCAGCCCTTCCGGGCGTTTGTTGGGACGGATATGATGGACGGTTACACGGCTTGAAGTCCAGTCCCTCTCCAACCCTCTCATGAGTCGTGACCTATAGCGGCTTCGCAATGGATTCATGGTGCCATGTGAACCCGGGCCCTGCGGGCCACACATGTATGTGATATATACATAGACACATGGCTGTACCACTGGATGCATGAGAAGAGAAGAAAGCAGAACCAAGATGGTTGCCATGGCGGCCACCAGAGCTGCCTACGTTTCCAGCACATCCATCTCACTCCTTCTCTTGCTGATCCCCGTTGCTCTCGCCAAGGATCACCATACTCATGGCACCAGCTACCTCCAGAGAGATTCATCGGTGTTCATCGAGGATGGCACCGCCGCCGCCGCCAACGCCACCACCATCCTTGCGTCGCCCAACGGCCTCTTCGCCTGCGGCTTCTACAAGGTGGCCACCAACGCCTTTGTCTTCTCCATCTGGTTCAACGGCTCGTCGGCGAAGACCATCGCGTGGACGGCCAACCGCGACGCGCCGGTGAACGGCAGAGGGTCCAGGCTCGCCTTCCGAAAGGACGGGAGCATGGCCCTGCTCGACTACGATGGCACGGCCGTCTGGAGCACCAACACGACCGCGACTCGTGCCAGCCGTGCAGAGCTTCTCGACAGCGGCAACCTTATCATCGTGGATCCAGACGGTCGGAGCCTCTGGACAAGCTTCGACTCACCGACAGACACGCTTCTGCCGTCGCAGCCGATGACTCGGAACATAAAGCTGGTATCTGCATCTGCCAGGGGCTTGCTCTATTCAGGTTTCTATACATTATACTTTGACAGCGACAATGAGCTAAGGCTCATCTACAACGGCCCTGACATCAGTAGCATATATTGGCCTGCCCCTTTCAACCAACCGTGGGTAAATGGAAGGACTACTTATAACAGCAGCCGGTATGCTGTTCTTGAACAGACGGGCAAGTTTGTCGCGAGCGACAACTTTACATTTGAAGCTTCTGATCTTGGTGATCAGGTTATGAGGAGGTTGACTCTGGATTATGATGGCAACCTTAGGCTGTATAGCCTAGACGCGACAAGCGGAGATTGGTCGGTCTCTTGGATGGCATTCCGCCGAGTCTGCGACATACATGGGCTGTGTGGCAAAAACAGCATCTGCAAATACCTACCGAAGCTCGAGTGCTCTTGCCTTGAAGGTTTCGAGGTGGTTGATGCAAGCGACTGGAGCAAAGGGTGCACGCCCAATGTAAACAAGACAGCCAACTGGGACAACAGAAGAAGACACAAGGCAAACAGCACGGCCACCCAGGATTTCTCATTCAAAAAGCTCGCTGAAACTGACTTCTATGGATATGATTCGAACTATGTGCAGCAGGTGTCAATTCTGCAGTGCAGACGTATGTGCTTGGACAATGCTGATTGCAAAGCTTTTGCTTACCGTCAGGGAGAAGGCACATGTTATACAAAGGTCTACCTTTTAAACGGCCAGAGCTTTGCATATCCTCCCAACGACGTTTATCTGAAACTTCCCAGGAGGTTGCTGTCTTCGCCGGAATTGACTTCTACACTAGCTCACACATGCAGAGTTCATGAAAAAGAGGCAGACAGTTCATCACAGATGTTCCAGGACAGCTCTTCCAAGTTCAAGTTTGGCTACTTCCTTTCTTCTGCATTAACACTGCTTTTCATTGAAGTTATATTAATCATCGCCGGGTGTTGGGTCGTTCACAAATGGGAGGGAAGACCAGAGATTATAGATGAAGGTTACACGATAATTTCCAGCCAGTTCCGAATATTTAGCTACAGGGAGTTACAGAAGGCAACAAATTGCTTCCAAGAAGAGCTAGGTAGTGGTGGGTCAGGAGCAGTTTATAAGGGAGTCCTCGATGATGAAAGGAAGGTCGCCGTGAAGAAGCTAAATGATGTGATCCAAGGAGAGCAGGAGTTCAGGTCCGAGTTAAGTGTCATAGGCAGAATTTATCATATGAATCTGGTCAGAATCTGGGGGTTTTGTGTCGAGAAGACATGCAAGCTCTTGGTTTCTGAGTTCATTGAGAATGGTTCTTTAGCCACAGTTCTGTTTGATTACCAGAGCCTATCTCCTGTGCTCCAATGGGGCCAAAGGTACAATATTGCAGTTGGGGTGGCGAAAGGACTGGCCTATCTCCACCATGAGTGTCTTGAATGGATTGTGCATTGTGATGTCAAGCCAGAGAACATATTGTTAGACAAAGACTTTGAGCCCAAGATTGCAGATTTTGGACTGGTGAAGCTACTGCAACGAGGATCAAGCGCACAAATGTTGTCAAGAGTGCACGGGACTAGAGGCTACATTGCACCAGAATGGGCTCTCAATCTTCCAATCACTGGCAAGGCCGATGTTTACAGCTATGGAGTAGTGCTTCTTGAGTTAGTGAGGGGGATTCGGGTTTCCAGTTGGATGGTTGAGGGCAAGGAGGAAGTGGAAATGGCTGTTAGATGTTCTACTGAAATTCTTAAAGAGAAACTTGCAGGTGAAGATCAGTCGTGGATTCTGGAGTTCGTCGACTACAGACTGGATGGAGAATTCAACCATTCAGAAGCACTCATGATGCTTAAGATAGCAGTATCATGTGTGGAAGAAGAGAGGAGCAGAAGACCGAGCATGAGCCATGTGGTCGAAACTCTGCTTTCACTTGTGGAATAATGTTCAATACTGTATTTACTACTGCTACATCTAGCTGATGTGTGTAAGAATAATATTCTGTGATGTTGCACAGACGAGTTGCCCTTATCCCTGCCATATGTAGCAACTCTACAGATTTCTATCAATACCTAACTACTATGTAGTAGGAGTATTTCATTTGCCTATCTGTTTGGATGTTTAAGTCTATACAACACATCTATCTAGTTCCAGCAATTTGAAGAAGAAATCCTTGATCCTTATGAGCTAGATCGATAGCAAACAGAAATATATCGAATCTAACATGAATTGTACCAGGTTGGACCAATCTAGCCAGTTTATTACTTGATTTATTGAGCAGACAACAGATTAATGAACCCAATGTAACAGAATACTCACCACTATACAAAGCTGTATATGATCCAAAAGAATGAACAATGACAGGACCTGTTAAACAATCAGCAGTTCACCGGTGCTAGGCCGGCGTCCGCCAATCATTCATCGTTGCTGCCAATGCGCTCCGCAGCGCCACTGCCCGCATATCAACCTTGAACCCTTCCTCTGCGGCATGATCTCTCCGGCTCTGCATTGCCCCCAAATCAGTCTCTGCTTCTTCCTCCCCCTCCTCCGGCGCCAACGCAGAGTAATCCTCCCTCGCCAGCAGCACGTTGTGGAGCATCGCGCACGTCCCAATGCAGGTCACGGCGGCGCGAGGGCTCTCCTCCTCGTGGAGCCGCGCGATGGCGCCCCACCCCATCAGGCTCCGGACGGCGCGCCTCGCCGGGCGGCACATTGCCTTGTGGGCAGTGTTGAAATGGGCCTCCGGCGAGCCGGGGACAACAGGCCCCTCGAAGGGCACCATGAGCCAGCGCAGGAGCGGGTACCCGTTCCCATCCGCGACCAGGTACTGCGCGGGGTTGAGTAGCTTCCCCTGCTCCAGCTCCTGGTAGAGAGAGGAGAGCCTGAGCACCTCG